TACACAAAAATTGCATAACCACTTTTAATTTTGCAATTTTAGATTTAGCAAATTATTTCAATAGGTAGTTTATTATTTCCGGGGCTGGCTCTATGAAGTGATTATAATCAAAAATTTTTGTGCAAAATTTAGTTATGAATTGAAGTTTGTGGCCTTCCCGAGGCTTGTTACATAGGAAAAAAATAAATTTCCTCCCTTCAGGAGCAGAAAAATATAACCCCTTTTTACAACATAATAACTAGATGTAAGTATGGCAGCCCTTCATTTGGATCCCACTTTCTTACAAGCCGAAAATTTAGTCCCCTTCTCGAATTTATTATACTTAGTACTACATTCAATATTCTGAGCTTAAAATGCAAGAATAAAAACGAATTTATTCTTTTTCTCTTTTAGAAAATTTGAAAGCAATAAAAAAAACCCAATTTAATCCCATTAAAAATTTCCCTTTGTATTCTCATTGTTATTGTAACATTGATGTTCATCATCAAGATTCAAAATTTTATTCTGTAAATGAATAGGTGTAATATATCTCATATATAGATACATATATAGATAAGTTAAATAAGTTCGTTTTCGTATCATTCACAGAGATTAAAATATTCCATGATATTAAAATATTCAATTGCTTTTACTATATGTATATACACATATGCCACACATACGACCATATAAACATAAAAATTTTCACACACATCCTTATGTAGATAGTTGAAAATTTAACTACCGTATTTTCCCCCCTTTAACTTAAAAACATTTTGTATTTAGTAGGTCTTGGTTTTAGTTATCAAACTGTATTTTGTAATTAGGTCAAAACAAAAAAGAAAACACAATTTCGACAGAATACGTTAATGATAGGATTTAGAAAATTTTCCAAATTTTCAAAAGGAATAAGTAGAGAAATTGTTGCACATTTTTTTTTTTTAAATAACATTTAAAAATTGTGCTTTCAACGCATAGCACTGTAGTTTTGTTGTATTATGACGAGTTCTACACACATTTATCGTTTGTTAAACTATTTTAATCAGCAAAATTGATAAACACATGCTGCACTCCCTTTATCACTCCTCCAAATAACAATTTAATGTTAAATTAAGTTTAAAAAATATTTCCACAAAAAAAAAATTGCTTTCAAGTCTTAGATTTTTTAAATACTTTTAAAATAATTTTATTAATGAAGTTGACTTGTTGAGCTAAAAATATTCTAATGAAAATAATTTTATCAAAAACTTTTGAAATTGATCTTTTAATAAAATTTTCAACTTTGTGACTAAACACATTAATTTATCATATCAAAATTCTTAATTTGGAATAAATAGTTTAAAATTTATCTTGAAAAAAAAAATTGTTAAATTCAAAGATTTCTTATACAGTTTATAAAAATTAATTATAATAATAAGAAATGGATAAAATAATTGTCTTCCGTTCAACTTCAGAGCAACTGCTATCGGATAATTTCTTTTCAAGATTTGATACAAAACAGAAGGCGAGTTTGAATGAAATTTTTTTCGCTTATTAAAAAAAAAAAACAAATAGATCAGGTTAACGTGGTCTCCAAAGAGTACACAAAAGCCGCTTAGGCCACCTGGACCCGTTATCATACCGCCGGATCTCTCCTTTTCTACCCTTAAAATAAGCACGGCTGCCGTTTCAAAATTTCAAAAAGTAGGTATTTTTGCAAAAAAACAAAGCTTTTGTGATTATAAGGGAGCCCGACATTCTAATACTATAAAACATTCTCTATGCTTATTAATGTTCTGATACTGCTACTTAATTCATTTGAAATTTCTTTCAAAGTAGGCATTCCACTGCAAACCCAAAGACAAACATTTTTCCAGCTCAGTTTTCTTTCGAATTTACACTTCTTCAATGTACTGGATTACAAATTTTTTACTGCATATCGCAAAAAGTGTTGATTTTTCTATACTAAATTTTATTCATAACACAAAATAAATACTAAAAATCAAAAAAAGATTCACTTAAGATTGTATATATAAGATTAAGAATATGTTTTAATTTACAAATCGGAGCTTTTTATTTTTGTTATTAACTTTTTACATTAGGAGCCGAAACTACGGCCCTGCAAATAAGCTTCAAAATGAAAATCTAAATTGAATTCTTTGTAAAAAAATAAATTCCATTTGCATAAATCGAAAGGATTTTAAAATTTATTAATGTGGGAAAATTTGTATTTACCACTGTCATATTATACCATTGTTCGTTGTTATATAAGTACTTAGATGTTTTCCTGAAAATATGTTCTAAGTAGAAGTAAGGTAGCACTTTTTCAAAACTTCTTATAGGAAAAATCCTTGATACGTTTTGAATTATTGGAATTATAAATATAAGTTTAAATCGATTTGATCAGTTTATTGGCCGAATTGTCTAAAACTTGTGAATAATTTGACTTTAAATTAAAAGAATAGAAAAATCATTAAAAGTTACCGAAAATTATGCAATTTTTTAAAACATGTACGTAAAATTTTAAATTTTAAAAAATAAGGAAATATTATTTTAATAAAAAAAAAACTTATAAGTTTTCAATGTAATTAAATTTTAATTAAATAACAATATGCAAAATAATAAATAATACTTACTTATTTAAAATACAAAAAAAAGGAAAATAAATTTCATTTAGAAAACTAATTTTTAAATATAAGTATAAGAGATTTTTCTCTTATATAATGAAAATTTAGTAGAAAAATTTATTTCTCAATTTCTATTTTTTAATTAAATTTATTAAAAAGTTTATTTGCTTTTTTTTTGTTTTTATTTTTTTTTGTTGTTATCACATATTTAACGAAGAGCATAGAAAGAGAACAAAATTTTAGAAACAATAATACGCAGAATTAATTAAGAAAAAATAAATATCCTTTTAATATGAAATTTCTACATTCTCATATATAACAGAATATATTAGTACACACGTGTACTACATATATTGTAGTAGATACGTACATATCTACGAGTTTTATATTAATATAAACAACATAATTCATACATACATACATTAATATTTATGCTTATATATAATACATATTGTGTAGGTATATATGCGTATTTAATAACATGACCAAAATCCTTTCTTTGTATAAATGATTAATTGTGTGGTTTTAAATTTCATTTCAAAAGCTATTCCATATATTTACACACACATAACGTAAACACAAAATTTAAATTCACATTCATACAACTATAAGTATTTATTTATTAGAAATTTACTATACACTATATTGCTTAATATAATAATGAAAAGTGTACTACAAAAGCTTGTATTCATGGGAAATTTTTATTTCTATTCAAAATTATTAGAAATTTATCTAGCTCCTAATTTTTACATTTTTTTAAACTTTTATTTTAAAAAAATTTTTCTCTGTTAATATTGTATACAACATAATATATGAATTTCTGAATAAGAAAAATTTTTTAAAAATATAATCTGGACTAAAATCCATTTTATATTGTATAAAATAATTTTCAATTCAATTTTGAACTCATATAACATTTATTAATATATACATATATATAATTTTAATTATAATCGTATACGCACATATGCATATTTAGTTACATAATATTCAAATTATTTTTGGTTTTTTAATAACCCTAAGGTTATAGATATAAAGAACATTTACATAATTTTCTCTTTACGTATACAGATATTACATAATCATTATTATTTTATATAATATTTTCAATTTTAAATTTTTGTAAAATTTCAAAATAAAATTTTCATAAAATTCTTTACAATAATTATAATGTAATTATTTACAAATCTGTGACTTAAACTATAATATGGAAGTTTAAGGATCAAAAAATTTTAGATTTAAATTTTCATTAAAAAATAGTAAATATAATATAGAGTAGTAAAGAAGGATAAGTGACGCAACGTTTCATCATTTATTTTAAAATTGCTTCTATATTCCTAAACGTATTAACCTGTTTAAGCATTTGTACGTTTATTATCTCGTGTATAACGTATGATTGCTGTATGTGAATATAATGTTATATGAAATTTTTGTATAATTTTTAATGGAGTTTTAATTGAATATAAATTTGATTTCGTCTTATTACAACTAAAATAATGTGTGATATTGTGTTATAAAGAAATCATACCGTAAACGTTGGAGCATAGTGCCCCTGCCGAAATTCTCATAAATTTCTAAATCGCTCTTGAGTAATATCATAACAGAGAGTCTCTATATAGCCTTCTCGTCGTTTTTGTTGCAATCTGTGTTATAATGCATACATTTTATGTTATACTACACCAAACTGCTGTTATACCACATGTTTTATTAAGCCACTTCCGCCTTAATATAAAATTTTGTTAGACCATAAAAAATTTCCAATATATTTGCCGCTTCTACAAATTTTGCAAGTACAAATTCAATTTTTAATTGAAAAATCGGTCTGTCATTGTCAAAGTTACTAAAATTTATATTTTGTTTTACTAACTATTAGTTGCAAAATATGCTTAAATGTTCCTATAACCTTAAAACTTACAAAGGCATATTATCAACGAAAATATACTTATTTTAAGTTGCTCTATCAAAGATCATATTTAATTATTGCCATTAAATTTGACTGTATAACAGTTTATATTATATTTTAAAAAAAATTATTTCACAGATTCACATATCAATCTGACTTAAACATAAATATTTTACATATAAGTAAACATGTTAACTAATAAAAAATTTTCTTTATTTTAATTTGAAATCATTACAGATAAAGTCTGAGTACAAATTAGCCTACCAATTAAAAACAAAGTAAATAAAATAAAATTACAATAATTCAAACAAATATTAATTAAAAACAAGAAATAAAAAAAAATATCCTTTGCTATATATAATACAAAAATGAAATATAATAATATAAAAAATGAGAAACAACAACAGAATCAGCTGCATCAACATTTATTAAATACAAGAGAAACATCAACTGGATTCAATATGCCTGAAGGTAGACAACAATTAAATGAAAAACATATCACAGACACACATATAAAATGTCCTGAAAATCATGGAGATGATGAAGGTGGTGGTGGTGGAAGTTGTGATGGTGGCGGTAGTATTAATAGTAATAATGATGTTAATGGTATTGGATACGGTAATAATACACATCAATGCAATATGAATAGAAATTATAAATTATTTGGTGGAAATACAAATAATAGTTGTAATGGAAGCAAAACAACATCAGCATTTTCAAATTTTTTTGATCCTACATCATTTTTTGTTAATACAACACAACAACATCCAACATCATCATCAACAACACAACATACATCGTCATCATCACATTCTCCTGTTCCACCACCAACAGTGTCTTTATTCAATTTAATATTTTATGTGATGTGCATTAGTTCAGTTGGTTTCTCCTTATATGCAAATATACGTCAAACACATTATGAAGATAGGCTACGACATTTACGACATCTAGATGATAGAATAACAATATTGGAAACAAAAATTGATAATTTTCTACCATTTTTAAAATATCGTCGAAATTCTAAATCAACATCTTCATCATCATCTGGTGGTGGATTAGTATCATCATCATCATCTTCAACATCTTCATTAAAAAATAAAAATATATTTGAAAATGGTATTGTTGATGTTGTTAATGATGAAAATAATAGTATACAACAATCATCATCTGTAACAGATGATAATGATGATCCATTAGCTGATTTTACAAATGTAGCAAATGTTGTTAGAAAATTATCAGTTGAAGTTCAAGGTATACAACGTTTAAGAAGGGATGTATCACATTTACAGTTAACAAGACGTCAACAAAGACAAACAGCTGTACAATCTTCACAAGAATGCATGTGCCCACCAGGTTAGTGTAATTTTTTCTTATTTAAATTCAATTTATTTAATTTAATTAAATAATATTGAAATATCTTTATTATTTAAATAAAATCTTTGTGTCTGTATCACAAGTCTCTTATGTATTACTCCTGAATTGAAGAACATATGAAGACTTATTGACTTAGGCATGAATTTTATCGCAATCTGGCAAATGTCTTAAATTCTGTCAAAACAGGAAAGTTGAATAATTTATTACATAACTAAATCAAAAATAATTATTTTAAATTAAATACAATTATTTTCCAATTATCCAAAATTTTTATTACGTAATAAATTCCTTAAAGTGTTCGTGTGATAAAATTTCATTTCCATTACAAATACAAAAAAAAGTGGTTAACCTTTCAACTTTATTTTTACCTTTCTAACATTTCTAATTCTATCTACCTGTACAAAAATTATTGGTAATAACGTATGTGCAAAGGTTTTATGCAATTCCAAAATTGTTAAAAATTACTTGAGATTTTTTTCGAGTTTTCTTCTACCACAATTTTCAGTTTTTCTATATGTTTAAATCAAGATAAAAATTGCACTACTTTAGTTTTTCTCTTTTTCTAATTTTCTATTTCATTTACAAGATTTTCCTTTTATATAAGTTTTGTCACATGCAAGCATTTCAGCATTGTTGAAAATATAGCACACAAATAGCTAACGTATCTCTCTAAAAATTAAGAGATAGGTGCATATTGTATAATTAAAGGTTTATCTACACAAGTGTTGCAAGAGGGTAAGCGTGAAATTTTATTCAGTGAAAAATGTTCAAATTTCAGTTTAGCTTTACAAGTTTAAAACAGAAATTTTTAGTTAAAATTGTATTACAAACAGGGATGAACTTGAATTGGGCTCAACCTCTTAACTGTTAATAGCGCTTCAACACTGAATCGGATTCAACAACGGTATAGCTTTGCTCTTCCATGAAATAGACAAAGAGCGCATTTTCACATCAATCTTAGATATATTATGTGAGCATAATAAGTTATGCATAATTTGGAAAAGGAAGTGGGAAGAAGACTTTCATTTGTATATTAAGTTACGTAAGTTACATAACTAAAATTAAGCAAATGTCCACTTGTAAAAATATTTAAACAGATGTAAGTACTTACAATATTTTTAAAGAACAAACGAAATTTAAAGCTTCCATGAGCTGCAGTTCTTTTGGAATCTTAGTAAAATCTTGTTAGAGCAGGAGAACATGAGCTTACCTAATAATAAATATATACAGAAAGTAATGGTAATCGTCAATATTTATAAATTTTCTTTAAGGGTTATATTAAGATCTTCATACAAGTTTCCTATTAGAATTTCTAACCCAAAGCAAAAATTTGATATTTTGTTCACACTTACAGTAAATTCTTTAAAAGTATCAGTAATCGTCGAAAACTTACTCCATAATACTAAATTCTTTAAAATTTAAGGCTTAATTCAACATTATCAACCTAAGATTCTGCTAAATTAAAAGCTATTCCGAATATGTTTTAAATAAAATATGACAATCTAAATCATTAAGCAAAAATTTTGTTTAAGTTAATCTTCTGTTTGGAACAGAACTTCAAAAGTAAATCTCAGTTTTATGGTTATAATATAGAACATTTTTAATTCAGAAAAGTTTATTTAAGTAATATATATAAATATTGTTATACTGTTAGATATGTATAACTATATTACGTAATATACAAACAACTGCATTGCATTCGGCACTTGAACATTGTGTAAATGTACTTATTTTTCCATTTGGATTTATAAGTCATAAAGTTTTAGATTTTCCTAAATTGTGTTTTTATTTAAATATATAGTTGAATGTCACATAAATGCCTTACATTTTTATACTACGTTATACATATATTATATGTATATATGTACATACCACAAGAGTAGAGCACATTTTGCAACATTCTGTTGGAAAACTTCCTTTTTAGTTTTCCTTTTTTTTTAGGAAAAGTGGAAATGAAACAATTTCTATAATAAAGAATAAAGAACTGAAAAAGATAAACTTTAATTCGATATACATACATACATACACATATTTATTATCTGTATAGCTTTAATATGTACAAACACACACACATTATGTGTGTTTGCAAGTAAAATTGTCTATTTTCTTCTAATAAATGCAAATATATGCATGCTTTTGAAAAGTTTTTTTTTTTTTTTACAAAAAAAAAATAAACAAGAGGAAAATGAGGAAAATTTTCACAAAGCAAAAAAGAAGAAACAATTTTTTGTTTAGATTATTATTACATTCTTTAAGAAAAGCACATATGTACATTATTCTATTGAAATACAAAATAGTACAAGTAGAAAAAAGATAGAGATAACGATAAAAAAAAATTAAAGTAGAGTAAAAAATAACATTTGACAAGAGTATTTAAAAAATGTCACGAAAAAATCAAAGAATTTTTAAAATTTAAGTAGGTCAAAAAATTTAAAACATTTTACCATTATTATGCCAAACTTTAATACTCGTATAACGGAAAAAGGAATAAACTTATAGGACACATTAAAGTCAATAAGAAATGAAAGCATTTATTAAAGAAATCTCTTTAATTTGCAATCTTATACATACAATATTTTAAAAACGTAAGTACAGTGGATTTTACTTATTGCACAAATCAGAATTATTAAGGGAAGTTTTCACTAATTATTACAGGTTTTTAAAAGAACTGCTTTGAGAACTGGTTCGGAATTTTCTAGTCGAAATTGTAAATTGTTTTATTTATAAATTTATTAGTTATCAACATTTTGTTTAAAAATTCCGTGAGAAAGTAAACTTTGAAAGTTTATTTTAAAATAGTTGAACAAATCTTTATTTTCCACAAAAGTCAGATTGTCAGAACAATGCCTGTTGAGGGTTTCTTAACAGTGAGTAAGAGAATAACGAGAAATATGTTGTATGTAAAAGAAAAAATATGTTCAATCGTCTTATTTTTGTTAAGAAAAAATCTTAATACGAACGATCGAAATAGTTCAATTTGCAATATTCAGTACGGAAAGTGTTATTTATCATCGTAATCCACTGTTTTCGCAACGTTTTTGAAGTTCACTTGTTTTCAAAATTCTATTAATAAAGTACAGAATTTCCACAAAAAGCTTGAACTCGAAATTCGTTCTTCATTCCAGAATTTTACAAATCTATTTTCATTTATATTGAAGAATCTGTTCCCTCATTTAAGTATATGGAATTTCAAACTTGGAGGTCGAGGGGCGTCTTTTTCACTCTGTATTTTTCTTTCAAATATTCACTGGCAAACGCAGATGTTATTTTCACATTAAAATCGACCGTATTTGGTATTGTTGCCATTCGGGCTTAATTTTTCCGTAATAATTGTATTCTGTTGACACTTAAGCTTATGAATTATTAAGAACATTTTAATAATAATTAAATTCACTATAAAAACATTTTTATTTAATTTCAATATTCGTATTAATATTTGTTATTTTTTTTTTCGAATGTATAAATGTAAATTAATATTTTTCAATTATTTTCGATATTTTTTCTCAGGAAATGTGAATTAATTGAAATTTTTTTTTTCAGTATTTTTTATTTTCTTTAAATAAGATCATGCATATATATAGAGATTAAGGATTTTTAATAAAAATGAAAATATTTGAGAAATATAATATCGAATTTATTTTGTATAATTAACATAAATAATATGTATATAATATGTGACACGGTGTGTACATAACGTTTTCTTTATTCTTACTCTTATTACACACGTTCACTCAATTTTAAAAGTTAATTATGTCACCATAAAATAACCGGCATTTTTTCTTTATTAAACTTAACCCGTATATAAGTATGTATATAACATTATTATTTTTATTTATGTTATTGTAATTTTATATACTCGTATATTTATAAAATGAAGGTAATTAGAGTTCATTAATATAGTAAAATACTATATGGGAAAAATTATATAAAGAAAAACCATAAAATTAAATAAAATTATAATTTTCTTTTTTATTTTGAAAATAATTAAATAATTTTTTCATTTTATATTTTAATTAAAAGCATAACTTTTATGTTATACATGTTATGTATAAGTGGTTGTATATATGTCCGTATGCTTAATTTCCCTTTATTTTTATTTAAAAAATTGGTTTTGACAACAAAAAAAAGAAAAACCTCGACATTTTAAATTACAAATAGCGAAATATTCGGTGATTTCGATAGATTGGTTTTCAATTTAATATTGTCATTGAAAATAGCAAATTAAATGAATTTTTGTTCATTAAAAAATTTTCTCTTCTACTCACGCTATAACAATTACTGGCTTTTTCACTTGGCATTATCTGGTGAAATATTACCTTCACAAACTGGGCAAATCGGACTGAATTTTGTGTATATCCTGCTGGGATGGTGAGGAGATGATCATACATATTCTGGTATGACTGTGCTGCTCTGGCCGACAGGAGGCATAGACGGTTCTGGCGGGGTTTTCTCAGCGTTGGGGAGTTCACATCAAAATCTCTGAAGGATATCGCCGAGTATTTCCTTGAAACCGGGTCATAAAGGCTGGATATGAGAGGGCTACAATAAGCCATAACCGGTAGCAATAATCTACAATGAAAAATAAATATAAACTTTCGGGGCCTCTTAAGTAGGGTTTTATGTTTCTTTTACAATTCTCTTTTGAAAAATTTACTTTTAAGTTTCGTTTACTTTCAGCATGACTTTTTTTTAATGTTTTAAAATTAATGGCAATAATCGTAGGATTTGTTAAGTTTCCTTAAAATATGAGAATTTCTTTTGAAAACTTAATTTTTAGCTCTTCAAAATTTTCTTTATTTAAAAATTATTTCTATAGTGGCAAAACATTTTCTTTTAGATTTTGTTTTAGGCATTAAAACTTACAAAATCTTATAAAGTTATAAATTTTCGTATTAAAGCTGAGAAATTAAAAAATAATCAAATTTGCCGTCACCCTGTCATTTTGCTATATAATATCATTTTTCTTATAATCAAATTTT